AGCTCATCCCGGGCCAGGCATCAAACCTCTGTTGCTCAGAGCTTGCACTCTTGAGCAAGCTCTTAACCAGCTGAGCCACTTGGCTGGCGCTTAGCCTTCTTCTAATTTAGCATGCAACACAGTGTAGAAAGAAGTGGCACCAAATGGCTAAAACAGGTTATTACAACAAAGGCTTGGGATGACTGCCAGGGAAACTGTCCAGGAGGCAGTGGCTCCCGCAGAATTCCCTGTTGATGGCAGAGCTCTGCCTTGCAACATCATTATTATTGTCCATGTAGCAGATGACAAGGGTATGGCTTTGACTGCACATTCAAGGGCATTTGCCTGGAGCTGGAGCAGGACACACCCCAACACCTTAGGACTTCCCTTAGAGTTTATGTATGTTTAGATCCTGAAAAGGCTAGGGGTTATTACCGAAATGAATTAATCCCTCTCACATAACAGATTTGCTGATCCTCAGTGAGTGGTCTGAGTTTTGATTGTCTGCTGTGGTGGCAATAGGTGGAAACCTTTCTCCTGTAAAGAAACCACACAGCCTGTAAATGGAAGGATGTTTGCCTGTTCTGGACAGGAAGGCCATTTTAAAAAGGAGAATTGGAATTTAAGGGCTTCAGTCTGGCTAATTCATGTTGAAAATAAGCTCATCTCCTTTTTCAGCAAAAGTTACATGTTTGCTTGTAATGGACCAGAAACAAGCCTGATGAGGGTCAGCACCCAGGGAAGGTGGGCTCCCAATAAAAATCCTTACAGAGCCACAACCCCAGCCTCAAGAATAGCCTCAGGGACTTGTACCATCACACTTCAGACTGGAGTTGCCTGCCTATCTAGTCTTAATAAATTAGAGTGCTTTTATTTATTATTTTTGTCTTTTAAACAATTATGCAGGTCCTTTTGATTACTGGAAGAAAAATTAAAAAATACAGATAAACCAAAAGAAAAAAATTAACTGTAATCTCACCACCTAGTAATAACATTATAAATGCTACAAACGTTTTTGTGTTCATCATTTTTTTGTATATTAGTAGACACATTTATTTTTATTACACTAAATAGTATTGTGCTGTATCTGTTGTTTCATAACTCTTTTAGTACTTTGTATTTGGTAACAGCAGAAACAATTGGAACTCAGGGCTGGGAGGCAGATTCTTTAAGCAGCCTGTCTGGCAAATCAGCAAGTCTAAAAATCTGGCTAAAATTGAGAGTTGTGTGCTTGGCTGGAGGCAGTACTTAGTTCTAAAGACTTTAGGGATTCTCTGAAGTGATGGCAAGGCTGGAACTCTACTCTAAACTCAGGAATGGCATAGAACTGGGTGATGAGAGATGGCTCACTTGAATCAATTTCCTTTAGTCCTGGCTTTGCATTTCAGCCTATGCAACCTTGGGCTTCATTTGATTTCTTAACCTTCTTGGCTTCAGTTTTTTATCTTTAAAATGACGGGGATTTAAAATGAGGTAATCTGTTTCTGAGGTCCCTTGCCATTCTAAAACATTATGATTTTTTGTTTGCTTATAAAATGTTTCCATTTTATATTGACATTCCATCTCCATCCAAAAAGCATTTCAGAATGCATAAGATATGACACAGAAGCTTCAAATTAATAGACGATCTCAAAGAGAAAATTGGGGCAAGACAGTAAGGGTAGGAAAATGGTTTTAACTCAGGATACAAAGTCAGGAGACAAAATGGAGACATAAGATCTAGCAACAAAAGCAATTGGCAGATCATACCCACTTATGGGAGTCATGGAATCTCTGTAATAACGTCTACAGTGGGTAGGTATGCGATCTTTAAAGCAGATGTTGTACAGTGTGGACAACTGGCCTAACTGCATCCTTGCAGTGAGTGAATGGAATACCAGTTTAGTATGTAACTGGCTTACTGCATCCCTTCAGTGACCATGTGGGATAGCCAGTTTACTATATAACTGGACTACTGCATCCCTGCAGAGAGTGGATGAAATTGTCAGTTTATTATGTACCTGGCCTAGATCAGCCGTGCAGTGGGTGGATGGAATAGTCAGTTTACTATATAACCGCCTACTTTATCCTTGCAGCGGTTGAAATAACGTTTCCTATGGCCCTTTCTTATAAATTTATGGCATAATCTCAATGGTTGATTAAGGAGCTCTACCAGGGGGTCCAAACTGCTGTCTTAAATATTTCTAAATATTTACAGAAATAAAAGTAATATAAATATTGCTTTTTTGGTTTGGCTAGAGCTGGGAGTTAAAGGAAGGTAATCTATAGCAGTGTTTTGTAGGTTTTATAGCCTTCACTGCCCACTTCTGAGATTTTGTTTTAATTAGTCAGTGCTCGGACCAACCACTAAAATCTTGTTAACACACCCAGTTGTGATGTGTTTCTACTTGTGTGTGTGAAGCTGACCTTGTATTCCACGGGCTGGCTTCCCTGACAGCAGATAGCTAATGGGCAGATGTTTTGTGTTGCTGATTACCTTGCCAAGTGGAAGGTAGGTGAAGCCATCATTTTATGGGATTACGAAACCTCTCTGAGTGTGTGCCATGATTTTTCGTAGAAGACAATTTGGCCACTTCTCTTTCAGGCTGTGATGGTTAATACTCTGTTTCAACTTGCCTGGACCATGGTGCCCAAATATTTAGTCCAAAATTATCCTGGATGTTCCTGTGAAGATGTTTTTGGGATGAGATTAACATTTAAATCAGTGTACTTTGAGTAAAGCAGTTAACCCTCCCTAATGTAGTGGGCCTCCAATCAGTTGAAGGCCTCAGTAGAACAAAGACTAAACCCCCACTGCTCCCAGTAAGAAGAAAGTTTGCCATCAGACTCTTTGGACTCTAAATGCATCTCTTCCTTGGGTCTCCAGCCTGCTGGCCAACCCTATTGGATTTTGGTCTCCGACTTCCACAGTGACATGAGCCAGTTCCTTAAAATAAATTCTATGTACATTTTCTGTTTTTCTGGAGAATGCTGACTAACACACAGGTGCTGTGGATGGCTGCAAGGACCCTTTGTATATGAAATATTGTAACTGACCTCACTTCTGCATCCCAGCCCTT